AAGATCCATTTTCTTTACATTGTGCGAATACGTCATAAAGATATGAACAAGAATGCCATGATAATGTGCACATATAGCAAGTTGAAAAGGTAGGGCACCTCTATCAAAGTCCAATCATAATTGTATGGACCGTGTGTAATCGTATTCGATCGTTGGAATGACGGTCTGCAATTTTTAAAAAAATGTTGACTAAGTGAACGCTACGATGATAACACGATAAATGAAATACTCCTAATATGTGATGGAACATAGCGAGAAGTTACGAACCTGAACGAACTTCAAGAATATTAACAGGTACTCATGCACTCCCAGTTCCTTGCCATTTTCCGCAAGTTGGTCAAGCAAGCGCTTCATCATCTATGTAAAGTGAATGAGTGCCAAAGTACAAAGAGGAAGGAAAAGCTTACTTCAGCATGTCGACATGGGTGTACAGTGGGCATATCGCAATCAATATGGGGATGAGTTTCCACGGTTATAGTCTTATTTGCATGATCCTTATAATTTGAAGTAACATGCAACTGAAGATGAAGCAGATCAATGAGTGGAACTTACAGCAGAAAAGTCTTCATAAGTTTGCTGCACTGTAAGAGGTTTGCGATTCTCGTCATAGCCCATGAGAAACAATCTAGGGACCTGAAAAAATGATTAAAAGAACCATCTAAATCGATCGTTGTCATTACTTTGCTTTATCGTTTCTTGACCCACGAATTATCCGAAAAATTTTCGAGATCCAAATTACTTTCGCCTTATTGTTCTTTAAAGCGCAAAATACATAGTTTTTGCAAAAAAGTCAAGTCTATTAGTAAACAATACCCAGTAATTCCGTCCAACAATTCACAATTTATGTAGGATGAAAGCTTAAGCTAGACCAAATTAGCTTCGAATCATAGTTTCACGGCATGTTTTCTCATAAAAAAACAGCTTTTTTTGCACTAAGAGGAATGCTGTTTACCTGGTAATATTTGTCGTAAGTGATATGTAAATCATACGTTCGCGGTTTTTCAACTTCAGCTACTGGCCCAGATCGGGAAGCGATGTACCTTTACAAGTTAAAACGCTCAATTTGATAGAGAACAACTAAAAATGGAAGGAAGAAGCTGGTAACTTTCAAAATCAATTATTACCTGTTTGGATCGATATCTTCTAATCCACCAGACTCTACAAAGTCATCTAAATCCATAGCGGGTTCATCATTATCGTCATCATCGTTAACATTTTCAGCTCCCTGGTATGAAAATAGTAGAAACGTGACACCACATCCTATGTTGCCATTTACATTTTAATGTTAGTAGGCAGACAAAATTTTAGTTTCGTAAGGAAATCAAATGTGAACAACGGCGAGCAATCCAGCGCATTTCACATGCTCCGAAAAGTTGTTATGAATATTATTTCAATGAGCTTCAGTACCAGAACTTTCGATTCACTTATAAACCTAACTCAAAAAAGGTAAAATACAACTTACAGTTGCACCCAGTTCAACGCTCTTCATATCACTTGCTTCATGGCCAAAATGATGTGTGTCCACCCAGCCACTATCCTCGTCGCCGGCAAAACCTTCTTCTGCCCCAATCTCATTTGACGATAGGATCTAAAAATTACAAAGGGCTTTATCAATGCACACTAGGTAACTGGAAATCAAGAAATACCTTTTCCTGGCTAGGATCATATTCCATTTGACGACATCGCTTATGACAAGGGACATTTCGTACAATCAGGAATTGTTTGTCCTCCGGAAGGTAAGAGCGCGTCCTAGAAAAAAAAA